TTTCAGGTAAAAATCTGTTCGGAGCACGTTAAAAAGGCACCAAAATTATGCAAGTGTGCTTTTATGGTGGTTTATAATGATATTATAATCTTCATACAATCCCTTCTGGAAACACACCTTAAAAGAGCTCCATTACACGGAGAAATGCTGCTTTTGACATGTTTGATTAAAGTTTACTTGTGGATAGATGTGTACAATGGGTTAAAACATGCTTCTGAAAAGTAATGGAGCACAAGTATCACCAGGTAGTTGATTGGAAATATTTAGATACATCCCAGCATGTTTTCTGTATGGGAAAACATGCTCATGACTAATATTATTGTTACCTTTATTAATATGCTGTGTTTGCAGAAAGAGAAATAGGATATTTTGATGATGAACCTAAATTTAAAATCTATTTTATTAATATTTGTTTGCATTTTTTAAGGTTTTGTGTTTACTTTATACTTTGTTGATTAAGTAATCTAGAAGAACAGCCTCTTTACAGTTCCTGCTAGTGGTGCAGGCTCGCCCGCCGGATCCCCCTCGGCTTCCTCTCCTGCAACCATCAAACCAACCGCCTCGCTCTCTGGCTCTCTCAGATTCTCTCTCCACCCCTCTCGCTCTCTCTTTCCTTGGCACGGCACACGGGGCTTATGTGTCTTGTACTGTACGGAGAGAGAGAGAGGGAGCTCTACACTGGGTGACGTCACCTCTCCCATGGCGTCACATTGACGTAGCGCATACCAAGAGCTCTGTGTGGAGGCAGAGCCCACATAAATGCACTATTTGACTTTCTCCCCTCAGACGGCGCACATAAACAAACGCGCGTTACAAGAGCACACTTTGCAAAGCACCCATCAGCACTGACACACTCAGCAGCACGGGGACGGACGCAGACTCGCTCCTTAGAGCCACTCGGGAGTTTGATGATTTCTTTTTTATTTCATTTTCTACTTTTTATACTTTAGAAAAGTAAGTGGAAGGAACGGAACTTTTTTTTCCTTTTCTTTTTCTAATGCCGACGAATCCAGCGCCTCTCCGACATTACTAAGAGTGCTTTTATTATTATTTTTCTTTCCTGTCATTATTTTTACCTCTTTGCGGTTGTTCTGGATGGAAAACGGATACTTCACGCGAAGTTATTAGCCCACTACATGTAAAGACGGAACCGCTACAGCAAACAAGTAAGTAAACTGAATGAATGAATGAATCTGTAAAGCTCTGCCTCACATCTTGGCGGAAACACGCCGAAAGAAGATAACCCTCAGCTTTACGTATTTAATTTTTCGCCACCTAAATCAAAAGCCATGATGGATTTACTACTCTAACATCATCTGTGCGCGTGCTGCCCAACTTTGTGTGCCTAACCTGTTGCTGCTCACGTCAGCCACCGGCACACGCGTGTTGCCGGTCATGTTTGTTGGTCTGTGCCTATGTGTGGGTTCTCCTACGGCGAATGAGGCTGAACTCTGAATTTAATTTGCGCTGGAGAAGGTATCGTATCCTTTCCGGTTGTCATGGAAATGAGATGCCTCTCACTCTCACAATGAATAGTGGAGTCGGACGCACAAATGGTCTGAGTGAAGAGCGGTGTAACCTACATTCAGGCAGGAGCTCG